GTGTTGGTAGAATTCTCTTGGTAGAAGCCGTCTGGTCTTGAACTTTTGTTTTCTGGGAGTTTTTTGACTACTGATTCAGTTTCATTATTAATAATTGGTCTGTTCGGATTTTCTATTTCTCCCTTATTCAGTCCTAGGAGTGTGTATGTTCTAGGAGTTTATCCATTTTTTCTAGGGTGTCCAATTTGTTGGAATATAATTGTGTGTAGACTTTTATGATCTTTTGTATGTCTGTGGTATCAGTTATAACTCCTCTTTCCATTTACAGTTTTATTTTTTTGGGGGGCCTCTCTCATTTTCTTGATGAATCTAGCTAAGGATTTATCAATTTCCTTTATCTTTTCAAAGAACCAACTTTCTGTTTCATTTGTCTTCTGTGTTTTTTAAAAGCCTCTATTTCATTTATTTCTACTCCATTTTAAGTTGTGCTTCATTTTACAGGTTTTATTCACAAGGCACAACGGCGTTTCCATTGAGGACAGAGGATCAGAACAACCAGTGCCCATAGAACAGCAGTACTAGACTCTCACTGCAATATCCCCTAACGAGCCTCAGGCTGTAGAGTTCTTTGTGATAATCAGCTCGTATGTGGCAAGGATGAGATTATTAGGGTGACTTGCCCAAAGGCACCAGCAAGTGATAACAGAGCTGCTGTTGCACCCCGGGTCCTCTGACCCCCAATGCTCTCTGCACTCCAGCCTGATGCCATCTCTAACCCTGCAGCCAGTAGGACATGGATTTGGATTTACTGGATCTGACCTGCCTGTGCTTCTTGCCAGCAGTGTGACCTTGGGCACAGTGTTTACCTCGACTTTGGTTACCTGGTCTGCAAAGTGGGAAGAGAGACAGAGAGAATTTCACATTGAAATAATGAGAAGAAATTCAGGAAGCCTGGAAAATAGGGTTTAAGGAGCAGGTGGCTAGAATGGGGGTTTACGGAGGCAGGTAAGGGTTGGATCTGCAGGCCTTGTAAGCCACCCGGTGTAGTTTGGACTTTATCCTAGAACAATGGGGAGCCACAGAATGCTGGGGAGGGGGGCACAGATTCAAATTTCAACCCCTACCCTCCACACTGTGTGGAATAGCTCAGGGGTGGGCACAGCCCTATGCCGGATCCCTGGCTTGGTGACAGTATAGCAGGCTAGATTTCAGCCTGCCCCTGTGTTCCCCTCTGGACAGGTGTCCTTGGCCAGTGAATAACCTAAACAACCATATGTGATGTTCCTGCTTCTACCAGAGTCTTCTACCAGAAGCACTTGCTAAGGTGTCACCTCAAACCAAGACCGATTTTGTCCTAAGGGGGACCCTGGGTTCAGCTGTGATGGCGAGGACTTTCCTCGACCTTACCCTCACCACATTCCTATGAGGGGGAAGTACTATGTCCACTTTATAAGCGAACAAACATACACAGGGAGTTAATCATAGGCCCAAAGCCACGGTAGGAGGCCAAGTGGAAACTCTGACACTTCTCGGAACCTAAAGTTTCTGCTCTCCTTCCCCGGCTCATGCCCTCCACCTGTCCTGCACCTGTATGCCCCAAATGCTTCTCAGAGAATCACACACAGAGCTGCCATAGCGTAGGTATTCCACTTCTTGGTTTATATCCCCCCCGCAAAAAAACCCCAGAACACAAAAGTTGAAAGCAGAGACTCAGATACTTCTAGAGCACTGCTCATGGCAGCATTATTCATGATAACCTAAAGGTGGAAACAATCAAAGTGTCCATCAGCAGAGGAAGGGATAAACAAAAGGCGGGATGTACATACACTGGAATAGCATTCGTCCTTTAAAGGAAAGAAATCCTGTCACATGCTACAACATGAGTGAACCTTGAAAACATTAGGCTAAATAAAATAAACAGGCATAAAAGGACAAATATTATATGATTCCACTTCTGTGACGTACATAGACAGAAAGCCGAATAGTAGTTTCCAGAAGCTGGGGGAGGGGGAATGTGGAGTTAGTGTTTAATGGGTGCAGAGTTGCAATATGGGATGATGACAAATGTTTGGAAATAGATAGTGGTGATGGTTGTGCAGCACTGTGAATGCACGGCCTGCCAATTAATTGTGCACTGAAAATTGGTGAAAATAGTCAATTTTATGTTACATATATTTTACCACAAAATTTTTTTGATAAAAAGTGTGCCTCTGTCCACATTGCAGTATAGCTTTCTGTTCAGGTCTCTTAGCTGTGGTCATGGGCTTCTCCAGGGCAAGATCATCTTGTCTGCATCTGTGTGTGTCTTGTGACTTTCAGTCACCTTCTCACCTCCTAAATTTGCCCTGTGTTGGAGCGGGGCTTGTCCACCTTCTAGTCTGGAAGCCCGGCCTTTTCCTTGTGATCTATCAGACATGGCTGGGGTGACCGAATTCATAGTCTGAGTATAAATAATGCCCATTCTTGTACTGACCAAGAGCAGGGTTGAAGCCCTCACATGCTCAGATTCCTTGGGAACCTTGACTTGCTCTGAGGCCCTTTCTCCCAAATGACCTGGCATTTCCCAACCTTGCAAGGGGCCAGTCCAGTCTGGTCCCAGAGCTGGAACAAAGTGACAGCCCAGTGAGGCTAGAAGGTGCTTTCTGGGTTTAGGAACTGGAGTGCCACTGGGACTCTCCCAAGTCAGGGGCAGCTGGAGTCTGGGGCAGGGGCTCAGAAAGGTGCTTCAGCAGCTGCACCTGCTGGCACCCGAGCGTGATGCCTCTAGTCAGGTCGGAAATGGGCCGCCTGCAGCTGTGTCGGGGACCCTGGTGGTGGCGTTATGCACCAGTACACATTCCAGTTCAGAATTTGGAGCTTCCCAGTGGGTAAGCCCAAGTGACCCTGTGAGCCCCTTTCGATGCACCACCTGGCTAAGGAAGTGGTAAGTGCAAATCAGTGAGGAAACTGTTGTTTCCAAGTTCAAATCAAATTAGTTTGAGGAAGAGGAAGAGGGGGAAAAACAAATTTATTGGCCCTCATAAATGGCCAGTCTTGGGGTTGGCTTCTGCATGGTGGAACCAGGGGTCATTTGAAATCATCGAGATCATTTCTTTCTTCTTGGCCTGTGTGGTCTCTGATTGGCTTTATTCTACACACAGGTCCTTTCCATGGAGCAGGCAAAATGGTGACTGGTGGTGTCAGACTCAGATTCTCTTAATTTAGCAATAGCAATCGAGAGAGGTCATCTTCCTTGTAAGCTCTGGCAGAGAAGTTTCAGGACAGCCTCTAACTGGCCACACCAGGGTCATTCGTGCCTCCCTGACTTCATCTTTGTCGTCTTTCTCAGAGGGGAACCCTGATTGGCTGGGCCTGGGTCTGCACTATTGCCTGGGAAGGTGGAGTCACATGGATGACAGGTCCATCAGGACCCAGGGCTGGAGACCAGGGTGTCAAAGGGGAGGCGGGTGCCCTAGCAGAGGAAGGAGATGGGAAAGTGCGGTGGGCCGTCAAGGACTTTGGGAACCAGCCTGCCGTGGTTCTTTGGATTCATTTTCCGGTCTCCTTCTCCAGAGTGTGGGGCTCTCTCAGAAGAGCTGGCTCAGACCAGGTTCTGGGGTCCATAGTTGTCCTGACACAGAGTCCCCATTTCCCACAGGGCTGCTTTGTTTTCGGTCCAGCGCACAAGAGGTCCTTCCTTCTTTGACTCCCGAGTCCGAGATCACCTTCTGCCTCAGGGCAGGGGCCCTTGTTTCGGGAGAACACCCCACCTGTCAGACTTCTGTCTGGGCATGGTGCTGCATATATTGCAAGTGCTCAAAAAAGGGCTTGCCTTATCTCTTCATTCTCCACGCATGCTCCCTCCCCATCCCCATGCCCTCTCGCATGGTGAGCTTCCAGAAGAGTCAAGCACGGTGAAAGGAGGCATAGACCGGAGCTGGCATGCCTTAGGCGAATGAATGAGTGAGTGAATGAATGAGTGAGTGAGTGTGTGGGTGGACTGGCTGACTGTTAACTTCAGAAGGAGGTGAGAAAATAAGACGCTCTATTCCCAAAAGGGATTGGCAAAAGGCGTCTTTGGCCAGCTGAAGTCTGAGAGCTATCATATCCCAAATCAATTTCCAGACTTAGAAGAAAACTGCTTATCTATCTCCCTCCGGTCTGCCTGCCTCCCCTCTCAAAAAGGATGCGTCTGTGGGGACAGATGGCCCTGTGTCAGCGTCCCTGTGTGATATTGAGGCAAACAGCAAGGGAAGGCAATGTGTCTCATGGTTGTAAAAATAGACGTGCATTAGGAATGCATGAAGTCAGACCCCTCCTCTGGCCACGACAGGCACGCTATTCTAAACCCAGTGCTCATGGGCTTGGTATCCAACCGCCTGGCAAGGAAGAGAAGTGGTCTGGAACTTGACATTTAAAGGGTTTGAAAGAAATAGAAAGAGGCATGGAGATTTCTTTTTTTAAGTCCGTCTGGCTATTTCTGAATGGGACATGCCAAGGAAATGGGAGATCAAATTCACAGCATTTTTGAACCAAAGCATCTGAGAGATGGAGGGGGCCGTAGGCGCTCTTCTGTCTGGTCTCCCTCTCCATGCAGGGATTCCTTGCATGGAATCTCTGACGACGGTCTAGTTTTTGCTTGGATGCCCTGAGTGATGGGGCACTCTCTACCTCAAGGGGCAGCAGTTCATCGTTGAACACCGTTGGATGGGTCTAGCTACTACTGCAAAATACTTTTAAAAAATACTGAGTTGACAACTGTTTCTCTGAAATGACCCTCCACTGGCCCTGGGGTTTAGGCCCCATTTTATGGTGTTAAAATTTGTATCCACTGGTATTTCTTGGGCCCCTTCTATCTGCCCAGCTCTGCACAAGGAGCCACAGAGACTAAAAGAGAAGAAGTAGTTTCACAAACCCAGCTAGCGCACAATCTGGGGAGATAATGAACATGTGTGGAATAATGAGGGTGTGCGTGGCGACAGGATATGATTAAGCTTGACATCGTGTGGTACTGCCTGTTTCCTTCCCAGTCAAAATCAGTGGCGATCGTCACCACCCCCAAGTGGGTCAATGACACCTACCTTTTAGCAGCCCCTCTGGCTTGGGAGCTGCGGGTGACCTCGGCTTGTCCTACGTGCGCCCCTCCCCATCTGGTCCTTCACAGGCGCCTGCCAGCCTCCAACTCCTCTCTGCTCACGCTGTCTTCACAGCCTTCAGCTTCGGATCCCAGGCTCGCGCAGCGTTGGGTCCTACACTGCTCCCCTCCCATTCGCCTTCCCCTTGCGGCTCCTCTGCACGGTCGCCCCCACCATCTGCCTCGGATGCCTTCTGCTTCCTCCCCCTCTTTGCCTTCGCTCCCGCCATTTCTCCCCGCCTCTCTTTTTCTTTTTGTTCAAATTCCATTGCTTCTTTGAGATCTGGTGGAAGCTTGCTTTCTCGCGGTCCCAGCATCTGGGTGTAAACAAGTTGAGTATAGTTGCGGTTTTCTCTATAGCAAAACCGCTAGCCACCCCTTGAGCCCTTTCTTGGCTTTCAAGGTTCACAGCCCACTGTAGTGGGGGAAAAAATGGGCTTGGTGTTGTAAGACTGGGTTAGAGTTACGACCCCGCTGTCTAGAGCTGTGCACTCCCGCACATCCCCAGCTCTCACCTGCTCTCAGTTTCACATCTGCATTGTGGGAGTAATACCACCCACCTCCCTGGGTTGCTCATTAACTGAGATAGTGAAGATGGCAAATCTTTTTCAAATAATGCCTTATGGTATTGGTTACTACAATGGCTATGGCCTCTTTTACAACAGAAGGAAACTGGGCTTGAACTCTTTTTATATCCTTGGAATTTGTATTGGCAAGTATTCATTGGGCACCTGCAGTTTGTCTAGCCCTGTGTAATACACTTAGGGGGTTAGAAGTGCCGGCATGGTTTCAAGCCAACGAGCTTACACTCTGGGAGATAATGAACACATGTAATGAGACTGTGAGGTTGGACAGGGTGCTATTAAGTTTGATAAGTAAGCCTGCCTAAAAGCAGGACAGGGGGGCTGGGAGAGCTAGGGTGACAGGGCAGGGCTTCCTGGAAGAGGCAGCCTGGAGCCAGAATGGGAAGGGTGGGTAGCCCCTGGGAAGGGGAGAGGAGGGCGAAGGGCAATCCAGGCAGGGTTGGATGAGTGAGGGGGTGCCCTTCAGTCAGGAGCTGGGCTGCATGATCATTAGCATCTTACCACAACTCAGGGTTGGAAGCTAGCCGGCTACTCATAGATTGTTCCTCTTTTGTGGATGAGGAAACTGCAGCTCAGGGCGCTAATTGGCTGGGAGGGGAGGAGCAGGGCACTGCGGGTGCTAACTGTGTGTGCTACACTGAGGAGGGTTAAATTTTGGGTCTCGCATTCTCCGATTTGATCTCTAGCTTCCTGGAGAGCCATACACATGTTGGGGGATCCATGAACACTGTCTCCTGTTGGGGTACACCAGACATAGGTGGGCAGTGGGGGCTCCAGACTGTCTCAGAGAAGGAACCTAAGGGCGGTACTGGTCTGGGCGGCACCACCAGCATCCTGCCCTCACAGGTAGATTAGATACTGACTTGGGGAGGGGCTGATGGAGATGATGCAGGGACTAATCCCCCTAAGCCATCACTGGGTGAGACCTCTGACCCAACAATCTCTGGGCCCATTATCAATCCCATCCTTTGTCTGGGTGAGTAATTCATTCACTGTATCACCGGATTGGCCTACTGTAATTGCCAAGGTGTCATCATTTCCCCAGTTCCTGGTGGAGTTAAAGATATGCTATCAGGAATCCTTTTAGAAAGAGCCCTGTCTCCTGTCCCATCTTTATAGCCCTGCATCTCAAGCAGCCTTGGCCCGCCGCCTGTTGAGGGGTCGGGGTGCTGGAGGGCTAAGCTCACTGTGAGAGCAGGTGATAACCATGGCCAGGTCTGCTGTGATGCTTACTGCCCCCTTTGTTCTTTTATTTGTCCAGCCTGAGCAAACAAGTCACAAGACATCACATGGTGTTTAGCCACTGAAAATGCAGAGAGAAAGTGTCTTGAAGAACATTGAAGGAGTTAGAGCCCAGGTTGCCTGCAGGAGGAGATTACATTGTCTGATTCCCCTCAAACGCACCTGTGGTTTCTCAACAAGACACAGTTATCCGAAGCCTGAGGGAGACAGAGTTTCTCTCTTACAACATCATCCTTATTTGACTGGAAGCTGACTCATCATCAGTAGACAGGACATTTGAATCCATTTAGCTAAGCCCCCTGACCATACAACAAAATGCAAGGTTTCAGAAGCTGCAGTCTCACTGGGGAGGAAAGTCAGGTAAGACCAAAGCAACTGGGGAGAGATGAAGGCAACGTGGGAACCCGAGACTACGGCTCCTCCGGCTCCTCCGTAAGCTCAGGCACTGCTTCCAGGAAGCCTCTGCGCTCTCCCTGACGACCCACTGCTTTTCCTCCCCTCCCCTTTGTAACCCACAGCACTTGGCTAGCGCTGCGCAGAACTAGGCCTCTGCCTCTGAGTAAGCTCAGGCACTGCTTCCAGGAAGCCTCTGCGCTCTCCCTGACGACCCACTGCTTTTCCTCCCCTCCCCTTTGTAACCCACAGCACTTGGCTAGCGCTGCGCAGAACTAGGCCTCTGCCTCTGCGTAGTAAATTCTTTATGCATCTGCTTCATTAGACCAAGGGTTGTCACACTGTAGCCCATGTAGTTTTTATAAATAAAGGTTTATTGGAACATGGCTGCACTCATTCATTTGTGCACTGTCTCTGGTGGCTTTTGTGCTATGCTACAAGGGCAGAGTTGGGTTCTTACAATGGCGATGGTCTGCAAAGCTCAACATATTTTCTATCTGGCCCTTTAGAGAAAATGGTTGCTGACTCCTGGTTAGACCATAGGCTGGTGGAGGGCAGGGACTGGGACTTACCCATATTTCAACCCCTAGGCACGCTGCTTTGCACATTAATGCTTAATTAAAGGAAGAAGTGTTCAGGCAGGAGCGAATGAAGAGCATTAAGGGGAAACAGTTCAATTACTTAAGAGCAGGAGCCGTTTTCAAGGACCTTAAAAGCCTTCATTTACATATACAGAGTTGATAAGCTAATTGCACAACAATCTTGTCCTAAATTAAAGCAGCCCCTCAGGCCTTGTCAGGTAACACCTTGTTAACCTAGTTCAAGGAAACCTGCTGTTTCTTGACAATAATACAAGTCAATTTCTATAATCAACTGGTTTTCTCCCCTCAGTGCCTCCCTACCACCCCAATCTCTCTTTAGTCTGAATTAGACATTAGATAGGCATTCTCTCTGAATTGAAAATTACTATGATAACAATCTGGTATAGTATTTCTCAGACTGTAGAGGCTGGTGCGGCACCATTTTCTCTATTATTCATTATAGACCTGGTATTCAGGGCCCATGACTTTTTCAAGAACCAAGAAAATGATTGCAACACAGAAAATTTAACAATGTTGATTCCAAAATGAACATTCCTTATAACCAAGCAAAACCAATATGAAAAAATGTTTAATTGAAAGTCTATTAAACAAATGACATCGTATCATCTCCTACTCAACTCTTAGTGTTATATATAAATTACATTAAATGGGGAGTGAGGGTGCATTTTAAGATGTTTGGCATGATGGGGTAGGGGTCCTCCAGATGTGGGAATGGGTGTAGGGGAGGATGCACATTTTGTGGTGTCCAAACCTCATACAATTTTAGGGGCTCTCTTTAACAATATGGATACAGCAATATTTTACTTCTGCTAATGTTACATAAATATATGACCCATGCAAACACTTTGTTAGGGTACTTCCAGGGTCTTGGAATGATCTAGACAGGTGAGAGGCCCTAAAGTTTAACTTCCACAAGCCTGATGTGGGTGGGTTGTTAGACAGATATAGTCACATATGCTTGGGAGGTGCTGTGAGCCTCTCTTGGAGAGTCATAACTCTCAGCAACTCTTTCAGGGTTCCGAGAAGTCCTGAAGTTGACAACATTAACTTTATTTGACCCAGAGTTCCCAAAACTTGTTTTTGTCATCGAGACCCTCTCTGGGCAAATATTTTTGAACAACTGAGAAGCAGGCAGGGGAAGCTGACTCTGCTCCCAGCCCCCGATTCCATTTCCTTTTATGGAGAAGGCAACTGAGTAGATACCTGTGCCATCTCAGGGCAAAGTTGGGACTCTCCCTGACCTCAGGTTGCAGACAGAGCAGGTCAGAAAGGTGCTTTTCTGGCAGAGGCTGGTGAGAGGAGAGGAGTTAGCTTAGAGGACAGTGTCAGACCTATTCATAAGGGATTTCTAATGTAAAAAATTCCTTTCCTCAAAAAACAAAACAAAACACTAGAGCTCAGACTGTCTCTTGCTCAGAATTCAAAAAGAACAGGACATTTTGACTCAAGTGAGGGCACAAGGGCTTGATGTGTAGATTCCTGGGTCTCATTTTCTATGAGCATCATCTTGTTTTTTCCTTTGAGTTTGGTGCAAGACTGGTGACATAATTTGCGGGTTCCTGTGTAAAATGGAAATGCCGGGGGGGGGGAGGGGGCCCTGTGTGCAACGTCAAGAGAGTGAGAGCAGGGCGTTAAATTAACTACGATGGATGGGACTGGGTGGGGCGCTTCCGAGCTTGGTCACACGCCCAGGAGGCTGGTGCTAGCTTGGTGCATGTTTGTGTTTACTGATTTCAACGTCCAGAATTTTGAAGATACTTAAAGTCTTCATGCAAGGTCCAGTGGTTTAAGAGAGGACTGTATTTTAGTTTCACGGGCCAGATCTGGGCACCGCCATGGGGATGCATTTTTCTGGGGTGGATCATTAATTGAGCATTCTTGGCATCACTCAGCCTTTTCAATGATTCATCAGCGATGCTGCTGCTGTGTGTAGTTCACATTATTGTTGTAATTAACTGGTGCTTCTCAAGTGAAAACCCTGCTCTAACCTGGGTGTTTTCAAAAACAGTGCTAGTTACTATGTATCCAGGTAGATGGGCTCAGCATACACTGACTCCCTCTCTTCCTGGCTTGTAATAATTAACCCCTTCTATCAGGGGACTGGTCTAAATAGTCTTTCCTTTAAGTAGTGGTTAATTATGAGGATAGCAAAGAGGTGAGAAATGGGGATACAGAGGAAACTGTTTCTCCTGTGTCCAGGGCCCGCATTCTCAGCAGCTGCAGCGTGGGGCATGTGCAGGGAGATGTGCAGTAGCGGAACCAGGGGCCAGTCACTGCCACTCACAACCTTATGACTGGCTTCAGAGGGGGGACAGTCCCTGCAGGTGAGGTCAAACAGGTCCTTGACAAGGGATTTCTGGACTCCTGTGGTCCATCATGGATTGAGGAAGGGTTAGGGGCACACTCTGAGCTGTTTCTGTTCCCTTCTTTAACCTGCTCTGGGCCCACGTGCCTGGAAACCCCTTACCAAGTTCATGTTCCTTGGGCTTCTGCCTCCCATGCTTTCCACCCAAGGGGTAGCTGGTCCTGTGGCTGTGGCACCCACTCCTGCTCCAAACAGGAGCCCCTCCAGCTCTGCAGAGCGGCATCTTCCCTCCCAAGAAAGGGGCATTTTGTCTAACAGCAGGGACAGTGAAGCCTGGAGTCCAAGAAAGATCAGGGAAGGCCGCATGCGCCCTGT